TTTCTCACGCACATACTGCTCCAGTTTCTTAGATTAGACGATGTTAAGATTTCTATTGTCATAGATAACCAGTATTTAGTACTTTTTTCAAACGAAACGTCCAATGGTGTAATGAATTTTAAAGATCCCCTTCTATCATCGAGCACATCTTCCGAGCATTCATATCGACTGGTCACACTTTTGAGGGCAGGTGCACAGCAGATTGAGGAATTAAGACAAACCAATAGAAGGTTCATTAAAGGATGTACTAGGCTGTGAGTGTACGGCGATCTCTACAGGAAGATTGTTCAGGCATCCTAAAGGAATTCCTTCTTCGCCTGAGGCTCAAGAACATCAACCTGAATAGCAAACATTCCATTCCTCAGTAAAGTAATCGAGAAATCTACATCGGTTTTTTCTTAGCACAGCTTTATTGGGTTTCATTACCTTATACATTAACTACATGTACTTGCAAAATAAGACATCAAGTCTTTACCACATTCGACGCACGTATAAGAAATGTAAAATGTAAACAAAATAAAAATGTTCTAGAAGTTTTAAAATCCTCGAAACATATTTCGCTCTTCGAGAAGCGTCAGTCAATAAAATTTTTCATGTAAAATGCACTAAAATAGTCTGCGTGTTCGCCAGTGTCGTGTAAGCCAACATGGTGTATTCTATTTTACGTGGTCGCGTCTACCGCGCGTGGAACGCGGAAATAATTCCATCCGTTCTTAAAGTGCATCAACGAGCCCTCCGGTACTGGATCCGAACACCCTCTGATATCTGCCTCAACATGACGTCGTTGGAGTAAGAACCGGTAACGTTCATTTCAAATTTCTGCATTTCACTGTTGTGTTTCTCTTTACAGTGCTTTCATAAGGCTTTCTCTTCCTTTTTGGCCAGTGACTTCATGTGTTTTTTTCCTTTAGTATACGCGCTCCTTAATGTTTCTCCGACATAAATGTCTTTACATTCAGCAAATTCTATGTCATGAGTCACGCTCTGTCTATCACACGGTCCCTTTCCATATTTTCTATACACTGGGCAATCCCCTCTTTCACATTTTCGTGATTGAAACGGATCAAACCTCTGGAGTAACTTTTTAATCGCAACACCAGCTTTTTCTACCACTTTGATTTTGAAACCTTGTCGCTTTATTTCTTTCTGGTATCTCCTCTGTAGCTGTGAATTCGGTTTTGCTGTTACAAAGATTACCGCCTCGTTTCCGCCTTTCTTGTACTAGTTGCTTCTCTTCCTCGCTTTTTCTTGGTCTCGTTCCTACCTTATACATAATTACGTAAAAACGTTTTACAAAAGAAATGAAAAATGTGAGTAGCATATATAAAAATCAAAAGGAAATATTGCATGTGCAATATGAACGATGGCAGGCGCACAATCTTACAAGTGACCAAGTGCACGGACGTTCTACGTCAAATGTTTTTTGCAAAAGGCAAGAGAGTTTGTTTCAAAATGTTTTTAAAGATGTCGATACTGGAGAAACTGCTTTTAGGAGCAAATTTACAAGTGAAGTTCGTAATTTGACAATCCTATTAAAGTAAGAGGCCTTAAATGCGGACGTTTTGCGAAAAGAAATTTTTAACTTAAAGGAATTACTTTGCCTAGTTTGGCCGTGAGTTACAAAAGAAACGAAGTTATGTACGTTTAGATCTGTTTGCCTTTACAAGCATTTGTAAACAAATGTTATATCATTGAGCTCTCTATCATAATACTAGTAGTAACATGTCCAGTCTAATTAGTCTTTCCTTGCAAGACATTTCTCCGATACGAGACCGCAGTATCCATCGTGTGGTTCTTCTCTCCACGCGCTCTATCTTGCCCTGAAGGTGGCTTTGACTTTCACTTTGGCTTTGACAGAGTTGTGATTTAACAGGGAACAGATATAATGTCCATCTGACTGACACAGTTGTTAATTGTGGGCAAGTAAGCTTTAGTGGTCCAAGCAGCTTATTCACTTTCGACACAGTAGCGTTAAACATGCTTGTCCCATGAAAGTGTGGGTGCCGCGACGACTCCAAGGTCCTTCTCTTTCAGCCACATGCTTGAGTTGCGTGTTGTTAAGGGTGTAATCATAAGTGAAGGGTTGCTTTTTACGTGTGACTATAAGGACTTTGCATTTAGAGGGGTTAAATTGGATGTTGTTACAACGCGTGCATTTGTCTATATTCGATAGAGTGGACTCTACAGCTTCACAATCGCGAGCACACTTAACAGCACCAAAAATCTTTGATTCGTTGGCATAAAGCGCAGTATTTACTTGACCCTTTGCAGCATCAGGTAGATTGTTTATAAAGGTGACGAACATTAGCGGCCCTACGAGACTCCATTGGGGCACTCCGGAGGTGACAGGGGCCTTCCTTCGAGAACTACTCGTTGAACTCGACTAGAAAGATAATTAACAAACCACGATAGCAATTTACCAGGGATCCCGTGCGCGCACAATTTTGTAACGAGAATTTTGTGATCGACACTGTCGAATGCTTTTGCAAAATCTAGATAGATCACATCGGTCTGGATGTTCTTGTCTTGATTAAGGAGGCAGCGTGGCCGAGTGGTCAGCGCGTTGGACTCGCAATCTGGCGGTCCCGGGCTCCAGTCCCGCTCTGGTGACTTGCTGGATTTATTCTCGGTCGTCGCGAGTTCAAATCCTCGGCCTCGCGTGTAAATAGCCAACTGGTTGCCTCCTGCCAGTTGGGTTTTTAATCCTCTTATGTTGTATTTGAATTATTTGTTTCTAAGTATTTCAGTGGAGTGACTGTAAACTAGCAGGATTAAGCTAAGTGCACTTTCCACTATAAATAAGCCTTTAAACCTTTTTTTAAAAACCGTTATTTTGGAGTACTGAAAGCAACTGGGTCACACATGATTGATTTTTCAAGAACACGTGCTGAAAGTCAGTTATCTAAGGCACTTCAGACGGTCATAAAGGCGATTGAAAACACAACATTCAGGGACTTTGCTAACAATCGGTAGCAGAGAAATCGGACGATAGTTTAGGTGCAATTTCAGCAGATTTCCAGTCGCTTGGGAGTTTTACGCCACTAAGTGACTGACTGAAAATAGCGCCAACACTTGGTGCGATCTAGCTATCACATCACCCTTTGAGGAGGCGGTCGGGAATGGCCCTTATTTAAGCGTAATTATGTCAGACAGCTAGCAAATTTTACCACCAAGCCCCGTTTGTAAGCAAATTTGGGTATTCTTTTCAACTGTACTGCCTTGAGAATTCATTTATGTAAAACTTCGCAACTTTCAGTATATTTTGAAAACGAGACTTGGTGGTGAAATTTACTCGTCTGACGTAAACAATGGTAAGGGCTATTCCACCGAGGCCTCGGTGTCAAGACTTCTCAGGAGATCTCACACTTCATCAACGGACACCTCGATGTCTGAGAGTTCCATATCAGAAAAACAAAAGCACTTGTTCAAGTATATAGCAATTTTAGTCAATATGGCCTTTTTCTCAATCTCCAGTTGACGGATAGACAACATCATTCCAGGGTAACAGATGAAATTTTGAAAACCTTTGATTCTAGTGATGAAGTCGTACTTGTACTGCTCTATCTGTCAGCGGGGTTCAATACACTAGACCACATCCTTCTTATTGAAAGACTGAGATTATATTTAAACTTTTTCAGGCACTGCTCTGCATGGTTCATATCATCATACTTATCGGGCCTTTCTCAGAGAGTAATTATTCAGGGGCACCCAACGAGAGTATAGTTCAAAACCACTTAAACATAGCATTGTTCAACGTGCTGTTTAGTATTTAAACGGTAGATATAGGCATATTTTTATCCCCTAAAAATTTTTCATTTGTTCGGATTTCCTAGCTGAAAGTCTAGTGATCCGCAAATTATTCTTGGTTAATTCAAACTAAGAAACTATCGCTTCTTCTGAGTTTCTACTCTCCTGTGATATTAGAGCACCTTAAAACCTTTATACCCACAAATTTCCGATTCAAAAGGGTTCTTTGTTTTGCGATACAGGACGGTGCATTTAGCTGTCGGCCGGGAAAGCTCTTATGTGGGTTAAAACATTACGGATGTTTGGAGATTTTGCTATCTAAACATTCCTTGTCTAAGAATAATATTGCTTTAATCTTTAAGAATTCACGCATAAGTAGGAAAACTCAAAAACAGATGTTTCTGTTGGTTTCCGGCGGCCATATTTGTGTCCCTAAAAGGGACACAAACATGGCGTCTCCATACAAAGCTTTACAAATTTGGGTATAACGTTTCTCCGAATGTCTCGCATATGAACTATTGCATAGACCTGATTCTTGGCAAGGCTTTTTATATATTTATCTTCTTTCATTTCCCAGATTCTAGACTTTCTGTATTAAAAGGTTCCCATTTTTATTTCTGCTTTCTCACGTGAGTGAAAACCTAGAATAGGGATCAAAACACACCTTTTCGAAAATTTCAGCCAGAAAAAAGGCTCCTGAAAATTCTAGGTGACCTTTCTAGGGTAATAATCCGTTAAAAACGGGCAATTATAACATGTTTTAGATGTTCCAAAATACTAGGAGAGGCAGGCAAGCAAGAAATTTTACAACAAATGTTCCGAAAATTCTAGATCTCAAATCGTCTTTCGAACAGATATTTCCAAAAATTGACGTTGGGTGCCCCTGATTATTGGTGAATGCACATCTTCGTCCAGATGTCTTGAGTCCGGCGTCCCACAAGAATCTAAACTTGGACCTTTACTATTTACGTCGCACATTTCACCTCTTGAAGATGAGTTACAAGATTATAACCTCAACTGCATTTTCTACGCTGACGATAGTCAAGTTTATGTTTCTATTAACCCTAACCAAATGATGATGCTCTCAATGCCCTTCGGCAAAGTGTTTCTTTGAAACCCTGATTGCAAAAGTCTACAGAAACAGCAACAAAATTAAACCACAGCACTTAACAGTGTGGGCTTCTATTAGGAAGAGTCTCCTTCGTCGACGTACAAGACGACTGCAAACCTTGTGTGACACGTGTGACAATAATTTCCCTGTAACCAGGGAGCCAACTGCAAACGCGCCCATGTTTGGAAGTCTTGTCGGGGGGACTAATCCGCGGCCAATTTGTTCACCCTCTACCGGAAGTTAGCTCCCCGTTTCAAATTGACATTTGGGGTGACGCTTTATGTACCCACCCGGACTGTGACTTGTACACGAATTATTACGCGACATTAATTTTGGCGTTCCTGTTGGTTTTAACCATGATCGTAACCCCTTGATTCCTTCAAATCAGCCCTCTGCAACCGCTAACCCTGCGCCCTTCGCACAGGAACTGGAACACGAACTGTCCCTGAACAGCTGCACCTCCGTTTTAGAGTTTTGTTTGCTCTCCGATGGGTGCTATATCGATCCCGAAAAAGCACTCTCAACCTCCCAAATGGTGTGTAAATAACGACCTTTGGTGACCTGCTGTCCAGTCTGTTAACGACGCCATCTCCAAAGAATTATATACTTGCTCCTACGACTTACTCGACCAGGCTATTTCTTACCTTAAATTGTTTGGTCCCAATGTTCCAATGAGTAATCTTGATCTTTCAGACGCCTTCCGCCATATACTTGTAGACCCTCGTGACTGATAGCTTTTGGGGTCCACTTGGCCCCTCGTTATGTCCGACGGTTCTACGCGTAATAGCTATTTCTTCTACATGTTCCGTCCCTTCCCTTTGGTCTCCTGAGTTCGCCGGCGCTATTTCTTAAATTTGTAAACGGTTTGCGATACACGATGGCACTCTGTAGTGTTACCCACTTTGGAACTACCTCAATGATTTTTGGAACTGTGGCCCTTCCGCTCCAAGAGCCGTTTGCTTCATACCTGTGCTGACCTCGGATTTACTACTAATCCCCTTAAAGAGTTTCTCCTTCAACAAACCTTGTGCTTCTTGGTATCGAACCCGACACTGTCTTCATCATCATCCATCTCCTAGACGCCTGGTCCACTAAACGACATTGTACGAAACGGCAACTACAGTCCCTCTCGGCAAGCTTATCTTTATTTTCACTGTGTGCCACCTCGGGAGAACTTTCCTACATCTTATGCTGGATGTCCTCTGCAAAGCTCACCATCCGACCCTATCACCTTCGATGGAATCACGCCTTCCACAAGGACGCCTAGCTTTTGGTGGAGAAATTTCCTTCCATCCTGGAAGGGTCGTAGCTTCTTCTATGACGACAAATGGACCCCCAATCACATTTTGATCTCTACACCGACGCATGCCAGTCTGGCTTCGGTGCTTATTTCGCAGGCGACCGGCTCTACGGGTCATTCCCAGACCACGACGTCCCCTGTACCGTTCGGTTATGTTCAAGGAGCTCTTCACCACTACCGCTGCCGTCTACACTTGGGCAGCATCCTTTGCTTGTCGTAATATTCTGCTCCATTGCGATATCTTACCCGTAGTACATATTTTGTCTAGAGGTACTAGCAAATGTAAGCACGTTATGACCCTTCTCCGTTTCCTGTTTTACACCTGCACTCATCACAATATTTTGTTGCGTGGCATCCACATCGACGGTTTTGATAATCATTGGGCTGACGGCAGTGGCGGATCCAGACCTTCAGAAGAGGGGGGGCCCGGTCATCCAGAGACAGAGACAGAGACAGTCTCAAAAAATTTTTTTCAGGCCTCAGTTTGGTCTAAAATTAAGGAGGGGGGCGGGACCCCGGGCCCCTCCCCTGGATCCTCCACTGGACGCTCTCTCTCGTTTTCAGGTCGACAAGTTCCTGGCCGGCTGTCCCTTGGCTTCCCGTTCTCCAACGCCTGTAAAACCTCTCCCCTTGTCCAGATTTAAGTGAAAGCGCATCCCTACTTCGTAGGAGGACTCGTGAACTCCTCTCATTGTACATATCTACAACAATGCCCGGCGCCGATTTCTTCACTTTTTTCAGGAATTTTCGTTGGTCCTCTTGCCAGCGTCCGAAGAAACCATTATCTCCCTGCCGTGCTCTCTCTACATATGTCACACGGC